ATATACTGTCCCTGTAGTTTCAAGGGCATTTAGGAACTGCTCACATATAACCCAGCCTAAATAAACCAGGTATTCATAAATCTGTGTTGCCTCATCTCTCAATACTTAGATACGATTTTACATAAAGGACCCAGGACTGGGAGATGGAGAGCACATTCTCCTGCTACGTTCCAGGGCTTGGCCTGGACCATTAGTAGTAGCATCAGCTCTCCCTTCCTTGTGTTGCCAAAAAGGGTCAAACCCACCTACTGAGGGGGTGGGATGGAGAATCAATACATTATAATCTCTATGCCTTTGTTTATTTTGTTTATTTATTTATTTATTTATTATGGAGACAGGGTCTAGTTCTGTCACCAAGGCTGGAGTGTAGTGGCACAATTGCTTGCTGTACCTCCTGGGCTCAAGCAATCCTCTCACCTTAGCCTCCAGAGTAGCTGGAACTACAGGGGCATGCCACCATGCCCTGCTAATTTTTCTATTTTTTGCAGAGAGAGGGTTTCACTGTGTTGCCCAGGCTGGTCTTGACCTCCTGGGTTCAAGTGATCTGCCTGTCTTGGCTTCCTAAAGTGTTGGGATTGCAGGCGTGAGCCACTGCATCCAGCCTCCCTGTCACTACAATGCCTTACACTATTCACCAGCTTTTTTTTGAGACAGAGTCTTGCTGTGTCACCCAGGCTGGAGTGCAATGGCAGTCTCAGCTCATTGCAACTTCTGCCTCCTGGGTTCAAGTGAACACATTCAGCTAATTTTTCTAGTTTTAGTAAAGAGGGAGTTTTGGGTTTTTTTGTTTTTTTTTTTTTTAATTATTTTTTTAAGACAGGGTTTCACCATGTTGGCCAGGCTGGTCTTAAACTCCCGACCTCAGGTGATCCACCCTCCTTGGCCTCCAAAGTGCTTGGATTACAGGCGTGAGCCACCGCGCCCGGCAAGAGGGAGTTTTATCATGTTGGCCACACTGATCTCAAACCCCTGATCCCAAGTGATCTGCCTGCCTCAGCCTCCCAAAGTGCTGGGACTACAGGAGTGAGCCACTGCACCCAGCTGTTCACCACCTTCTTCCTTTGTTCATGGCCTTAGTCCAAAGCCCCAAGCCCTAACTCACTTGCTATTCCCCTCTCAACACCTGTTCCAGGATCCATTATTACCTGTGGCTTACAGTCAAAGGAGTCTCCTTTTTTACTGCTGTAAAGGCAGAGGAAAACTAATGGAAACATGTTCTTCTGCCCTAAATTAAAACACTAACTACATCTGCTCACTTAAAAAGCCATTTATAAAACACACACACACACACACACACACACACACACACACACAGAATTGGTTAGGATCGGTACTATCTGACTGAAAAGTTAAACAGAATTTTATAGGCAAGTCTGAGAATATTGTCCCTACAGGGAAACATTCAAAGCAATAAATCTACTTTGAAAGGGCATGTCCAAGAGTTTTCATCATCTATAACAAAATCATTGTCAAATACTACTTACATTCTTTAGAAAAAAGCCTCTTTCTTTTACCCTGTCCACCTTCTGCACCTCCTCCAATTTCTTCATTTTCTTCTTCAAACTAAAAGTTAAAATGTATATATAAAAATGTCAAGTGATTGCATTGCATTTCCTATTTTAATAATTAACAATTTTTTTTTTCTTTTCGACAGGACAGAAAGCCTAAAGGAAGCAGCAAAATAAAAAAGAAAAAAAAAGAAATGTCAACGCTGAAGGGACCTCTCTACCTAGTCCAACTTCGAACCCATCCAAGTTGGACTAGATAGATAGGGCTTCTACAACGTTCCTAACAAATAATCCTGCTGCGGCCATGTGCAGTGGCTCATGCCTGCAATCCCAGCACTTTGGGAGGCCGAGGCAGGTGGATCACGAGGCTGGGAGTTTGAGACCAGCTTGACCAACATGGAGAAACCCCATCTCTACTAAAAATTCAAAAAATTAGCTGGGCATGGTGGTGTGCACCTATAATCCCAGCTACTAGGGAAGCTGAGGCAGGAGAATCGCTTGAACCCAGGAGACGGAGGTTGCATTGAGCCGAGATCGCACCACTGCACTTCAGCGTGGGCAACAGGGCAAGACTCTGCCTAAAAAAAAACAAAAACAGGCCGGGCGCGGTGGCTCAAGCCTGTAATTCCAGCACTTTGGGAGGCCGAGGCGGGTGGATCACGAGGTCAAGAGATCGAGACCATCCTGGTCAACACGGTGAAACCCCGTCTCTATTAAAAATACAAAAAATTAGCTGGGCATGGTGGCGCGTGCCTGTAATCCCAGCTACTCAGGAGGCTGAGGCAGGAGAATTGCCTGAACCCAGGAGGCGGAGGTTGCGGTGAGCCGAGATCGCGCCATTGCACTCCAGCCTGGGTAACAAGAGCGAAACTCCGCCCCCCAAAAAAACAAAAAACAAAAAACAAAAACAAAACAAAACAAAAAAAACAAAAACAAAAAATCCTACTGCTTCTACTTGTAAGAGTTCTAATGACCGTAGGTTTTATTATTTATTTTGAGACGGAGTTTCGCTCTTGTTGCCCAGGCTGGAGTGTGATGGCACGATCTAGGCGCACTGCAACCTCTGCCTCCCGGGGTCAAGCAATTATCCTGCCTCAGCCTCCCCAGTAGCTGAGATTACAGGTATGCGTCACCACGCCTGGCTAATTTTGTATATTTAGTAGATATGGGGTTTCTCCATGTTGGTCAGGCTGGTCTCGAACTCCCGACCTAAGATTATCCGCCCGCCTTGGCATCCCAAAGTGTTGTGATTACAGGCACGAGCCACCGCGCCAGGATCATAGGGTTTATTTTAACCAGCCAAGATGGTCTATTGCTAGAAAATGTTATGTTAAACAGTTGATACTGAATCAAATTCTACCTTCCCGTAGTAAGCAAAACTAATATTTACTAAGCATTTGTTTATACAGTGCTGAAAACGTTCCTTAAGTAAGCCCGTAACCCTATTTTATAACAAGATAACTGATGTTCAAAGTTAAATAAATGGCTCAGAGAATGGAGATTTTGAAATCCTGGCTCTCTGACTTTCAATGCATTATTTTCCCATTACTTCACAATAAGTACTGTTTTGTTTGCAATTGAACTGTTGGTTGATAGTGAGCGCTAACAGATGTTAGTTTTGACCTTTGATGATTCTGTAGGTGTTTCAAACAGTGTTTGGCAAATACAGACCAAAATCAAGGGGAAAGAGGTCAGAAAACCTCTTCCTTCACGTCTTTCCCCACTTTCTAAAATGATCAATCCTTAGGGCGTGAAGTCCCCTAAATCTGTCAGCCGAATTCAGTAAGGCAAGCAGATCCGATCCTGAACTCTGCCTCCACTACTGAGCCCGAGGGAGTGAAGAAAAGAGAGGTTTGGGACAGAGAGGGTCACTCACGGTAGGGTCCTCTTCCTCATCTGCCATCCCACTAGCCCGCCAACCAACCGCGCCCCGCCGGCAGGCTCCAAGCAGGTTATACTACTTCCGCTACCTCACTTCCGGTGACGCGAGGAGTCGGGGAGGGGCCTAGCTGGCTGAGCCCATGAGCTGGGGACGCTGGCGCTCCGTCCTAGCGGAGGAAATGAGCGTCCTCAGCGGAGGAGAACGGAGCTCCTCCTTGTAATCCCGAAGGAATTGAATACTAACAAAGAAAGAAAATTATGGGCTAGGTGGCGAGTATCTCGTCATCCTAGGTTTGCTACTGCATATTGAATCACGGCTTCCTGTTTCGGGACTGCGAAGCTAAGGGTCATTGGAGGGCTAGCCAGCGGTCCTTTATCTGATGTAAATGCTTTTAAATCATTTTAAAGATTTGTGGTGCCAGTGTTTCTAAGCACTGTGTTAATTGTTGGGGATATTGCCCTTCACCACTAATGTCCAAGACATGGTGTCCTGAGACTCAGCATCTAAAATTTCGTGAAGGTTGGGTTTTTGTTTTGTTGTCGTTGTTGTTTTTTGAGACTGAGTCTCCATTTATCGCCCAGGCTGGAGTGCAATGGTGCGATCTCGGCTAACTGCAACCTCCGCTTCTCGGGTTCAAGGGATTCTTCTGCCTTAGCCTTTCGAGTAGCTGGGATTACAAGCGTGCGCAGCCATGCTCAGCCTTCTTTTTGTTTTTTTGAGACCGATCCTCACTCTGTTCCCCAAGCTGGAATAAAGTGGCGTTATCAGGGTTCACCGCAGCCTCGACCTGCTGGGCTCAAGCCATCCTCCCACCTCAGCCTCGGAGTAGCTGGGATTACAGGCGCACACCACCATAAATTTTGTATTTTTAGTAGAGTTGGGGTTTCGCCACATTGCCCAGGCTAGTCTGGAACTCCTGACCTCAAACGATCTGTCCCCTTCGGCCTCCCAAAGAGCTGAGATTACAAGTGTGAGCCCACCGTGCCCGCCAGGGAATGCTTTTGGTAGGAACAATGGTTGGGAAAACCACAGGCATTGGAAGGCCAGAGCTAGGTATATAAAATAAATGTCCTACAGTGTAACAGATGATGCTACATAAAGAAAATCCTGTAATACACACGATTTCTGAATGTCCTGCTGAACATTCCGTGGGTGAAAGGTCCTGAGACTTGAACCTATCTTTGTTATCTGAGACTTGAGTCTATCTTTGTTAATAAACACAAAGCATTTTCCCATGCTTTTAATGTACATTGAATTTTCTGGGAATGTTATTACCCCAAAATTGAATAATAATTGTATTTTGTTTTGTTTGGAATTCATTAAGAGCTGTGTATCATTTCAGGAAATAACGTCACCAAAAGCACATCACTTGTAATAATTTGAATAGTGAATACTGAAAAAAAAGAACTTTTATTTAAGGAATGTGAGTCTTTTAAAATTATTAGGCCCAGAGAGGCATTAAAATGAGAGGCAGTCACATCCTGCTTGCCACCTTTTGAACTATGTATTAAAGTCTTGGGCCGGACGCGGTGGCTCAAGCCTGTAATCCCAGCACTTTGGGAGGCCGAGGCGGGTGGATCACGAGGTCAAGAGATCGAGACCATCCTGGTCAACATGGTGAAACCCTGTCTCTACTAAA